TGTACTGACAGCTCTGTGAAGTGCAGAAAGAACACGTGCGGCTCTCAGCCCTAAGTACCACTGTGTTTAACACATACTTAGCATCTTCTTCCTGAGATGATGAAGACTAGACAGTTTTTCTAGTGAACCACTTGACTACTACTCACTTCAAAAATTGATTCCTAACATACTTTATGCACCTTAATGAACTTTCTGGTATAAATTTTGATAAAGCTAATTGAAATGATTAAACAACCATCTTTGGAAAGTGGATTTCTGATTAGGGCACTTCAGATGCTAATTACGTGTCTCTAGAACATATGATAAAGTTTGTTTACACCTACACATATTTTGCACTACTACTTCTCAAAAATGTTTACATTGCTGCCTAAAGACTACAGTTGTTGGTTTTTGAAAAAGTAACATGCATTCTTCTTCCAGTTGTTTTAATATTGTAATTTTACTTTTGTTTTTATAATAGCGTTCTCTCCAAAGTTTGTTCTTTCCAAAGTTTATTCCTACTAAATACTTTGATGAGAAGTGATATAAAGAAAATCTCATTTAGCTAAAAGGCAATCAAAGTATGAGACCCAATCTAAGACTCAGTTCTCCACAACTCAGTGTTCTCAAGTCTTTGTTACATGACTTGAAAACCAAGCACCCAAGTGTCCTTTGTAGTGTGCCAAGACAGAAGAAAAATATTCTGGAGTTAATGTCGCTGTTGAAACATTATAAATAGAAACTTCAATGTGGTCAGCCATTTTCATACTGTGCATAGTGGTCATTTGGAAATTATGAAATATACTCTCTCAATGCAACTTAATTAAACTTAAACATTTCCCTGTGATAGCAGTATTACAAAATTACTTGAGGAAATGAATAAATACATTACTTCCCTAGAAAGGAACCCAGGTTTGTGCCATGATGCCTCTCTGATCACTGGAAAGTAATCAAATAAATGAGTTTCTGTTGCTGTCTATTCAATCCTTCTCCAAAGTTACTGCCTTTAAACAGCTGACTCCTAGGGAAGCTTATGCTTAATGCCTTAGCCATTTCATTGGTTAAATAATGTCACAGGTAATAATATCTAAAAGAAAATGTTTAAAAATAAATAAAATAAAAGTAAATGCACTTTAAATGACTCCAGGGAAATAATAGACATTTCAAAATATTAATCATAATAAAACTGGACTAATTACACTAACACTAACATAAAGTTGCTATGAATGTGAAAATGAGTACAGACTTGGAAACTGGATTGCTGACTTAGATGTAGTCACAATCGGTTCCCTGGGGAAGAGATTCTCTGAGGACATGGAGATTGTCAAATAAGACATTTCTTACCAAATAACTATGAAGGAAAGAGGGAAAGTGGAGTTGAGGAGAGTTTTACTGAAATGTAGCACAGCAAAGGCCTCAGCCAATCTAATCAGGAGCTCTACAGCTATGCTAACCCTTCACACACCTCTATCAATTAATCAGTCAATAGAAGGAGGATCCCTCTGGGAGGGTAAGAAGCAGTAAGTTTAGACAAACAGTTGTCATCAGTTGGTGTCAATTCCCAGAGAGGAACTCACTGGAGAGGTCAAACCCCAGACTGCCCCTGCTGGTAGCTAAGGGAATGAGTATGTCTGTCCCAGAGAGGGAAGACCCAAGCAGCATACTACAACCCTACATCCTTTCCCACAGACCTCCTTGTGCAGTGCTCAGGCCCACTTTGTTTTTCAGACAGGCCTGTGGGAGTCTCCTCCACAATTCTGGAGCATTTCTTTTCCTGAGGAAAACTGCAAGAAGGTGAATAGGACAACCTACAGTGACACCGCTGCAGCTGGTCTCCAGGTCCCTCTCCTCTGGATTCCTGACAAGTACTTCTCAAAACTGTCAAGATCCCTAAAGACAGGGAGAGCGTAAGAAATTGTCAAATTAGGAAGATTTAAAGGGAATGTGACAACTAAATGCAGTATGGTGGCCTAGATGGGATCTTAGAACAACAACAACAACAACAATAAAAAGTCAGGTAACTACTAAGTATATCTGAGTAACTATGGGCTTTGGTATGGATTTTAGTTAACAGTAACGTCCAGAGTCCCCCTGGGATGGAAGGATGACTTTAGTTTACTATCTTGGCCAGGATGTGGAGGACTTTCAGGGATTCCTACCTGGCTTTCCCACAGAGATAACTTTTAACCCCACAAATCAAAGAAAGAATAGTGACACTGCCAACACCCGAGTATGCTCCATCCAATAATTTATTCAGGAAGTAGAGTGATGCCTACTAGAAAGATCCATGAATTGGGCAGACCTATTGTAAGTAAGACTTGGGAAGAACTCTATCTGTTATCTGAATCACATATGCTCCCACTCTAAAAGGACACTCTGGTTCCTGAGTATCAACATCAACTTGGACCTGTGTCTCATGGTAATTGTGTACCCTCCTTCCACAGTGTAGAGTAAAACCAGTAAACAATTACAGAGGAACCACTGGCATACACACTTGTGGTGATATCATAAGTTCTTCTTGGGGATTGGGCCTTCAGTCAATAGTTTCTGTTTTGAAAAAATAATGAAGGTCTAAAAAATGTGGCAAGAATTCATAACCTTTCATTAAGGTAGCTGTGCGCTATCTCCTGATCACCCTCCTTGAGGTTGTTCAGCAGTACAGCTTGAGTAATACTCTTCAGCTTACCATTTAATTTGATGTGTCCTATTAACCACTGCCAAAGCTCTCAACAGGCCACTCATTATGATAACTGTGCTCACTTTTCTCTGACAGTGGAACACTGTCACCAGGCCCTATTCTTCCACATTTCTGCCACTATGAGCCCACTTCTGTGACAACATCTCAGTGACACTTGTGCCCCTCACCAACACATCCTCATCTTTTTGTGAATGTACCTCCTTGAGGGTCCCCACCCTTAAGAAAACACAAATACTTTATTGTTCTGTGCAATAACATTTAAGGAATATGAAATCAGGTGTTTGATCTGCTAGTTACAGGGATGTCCCCTGTTATACACCAAAATAACTACTAATATAAAATTTTTCATCCAGCTACCACTTGAAATCACTCTGCACCCACAGATGAATCTTTGAGATGTACTAAGTCAGTCAATAAGAAAATTATTAAAAGATAGAAAAATCTTCTAGCCTTCTATATATCTATAGCCCCTGGCTTTCAAACTGTGCTCAGTAACTCCTGATCCTTCCTCATACATTGCAACATGCACTCACTTAAGAAAGATCCTTCCCTTGACTGGATTTAGGATAAGATGTCCTCAAGTCCATCTGTCTCTCAACTTTTCTGCCTTTTAATATAAAGGAATTATGGAAAACATACCTATTCCTTCTTATTTGTCAGAAATATAACACACAATTTAAAAGTATGTACAGAAACCTTTTAATTCCTTGGAAAATTTTTTCCTGGATGATTTGATGCATTTTAATAACCATAAAGACAATTTTACCTGTACTTGTTCATTACCAAAAGTAAAAACTATGATAACAATATATATCCATAGATCAAAATAATCTCATCCATTTGGACATCAATAAAGGCAAAAAGACAAGAATTCTGAGTAGAGCAATTAAAACAGTACAATATTTTAGGATTTTTTTTATTGTTTCACTATATGTTATCTTCTAAGTGTCTACAGGAAAGAGGGAAAACATCTTTAGGATAATTTTAAACAACATGAGACAGGGATTAAGTGCTAAGTATAAAAAATAAAATAAAACTTTTAGCTTACTAAACCAGGAAGGATATTCCTGAAACATACCAGTTAAATTGGCCTGTAATGCATTCACAAATGGACAACATGGATCTCCTAAGAAATATTTTAAACATCGCATGTACTACCATAAAAGCTAATAGGATACGAAAATTTTCAAGTTACAATCCCCTGGACAGACCAATACAAGTTAGTTTTAACTTGAAGTCAGAAGTGCAAAAATCTGTAAAATATAAAAATATTGCTGTTGTTCTCAGAAATTTATTGATATGTCCTACAAGTCCTTAAAGTCTTTTTTAACAAAACCCAACCTTTTGGCAAGCTCCTTACTGAAGTAACAGGTAACTCTTGAAGCTGAATTTCTCAGTAGGTGGACAGAAGCAAGCTGCACTGGCCAAATTGCTCCATTTTGAAAAGCATCTTCAGAATGGAAGAAACTCCGGCAATGTCTTTCAGTGCCTCACTGCCTGCACACTGCCAAGTCTGCACAGGAGGTCCATGGGCAGGTGTGACTCTCAGCTCAAAAGGTGGAAACAGATTAAATGCATGGAAATGGAAGTCAAACACTTCCATTTACAGATGCTACCCCAGGTAAAATGCCAAAGGCTTTTGAACTAAAAATGAATAAGCAAAAATGAGGTAACCAGCTATAACAATGTTGAGGGTTTATGTTGCATGTACCACAGGTAAGACAGACTTTTCACATGAAGCTGCAGGGAGTTCTACTTGGAACTCACTTCTGAGCAACACTTCTAGACATTTCTATTATCTGATTCATCTCAATTCTGAACATCATAACTGATACTCAGAATGATGCCTCTAATATCCTTTGAGGCTCTACCCAATTTTCCAGATCAAACAGAAGTCATATAATGCCTAATACTATTTAGAACATTTTTCCCAGTGTTATCATATTTTATAATTATTTTTAAACTGGTAATCCATTGCAGGGCTCAAGGAGAGCTCTATTAACCATATTATTTTATGAATTAAAATATCCCACTCACCCAGTAGGATTAATGATTAGAGCTTATTGTATATTCAAAACCAAAGCTGAGGCAATGGGCTGCTGGAATCTGATCACACACAATGAACTATCCCACTAAGCAACTCTTTATTGTTGTTTTTTTTGTTGTTTTTTTTTTTTTTTTTT